CAATACGTGGTTTACCTGCTATTGAAGGCCAATCTTCTAAAACCTGCTGTACTTTAAACGGGCTGTTTACAAAATCAATTTCCGGATTTAAAGCAGCAGAATGCAGTGAGGGAACGAATTGTTGATGCTGAAGCTGCAAGATCACTTTCGTTAAACCCGAAATACCTGCTGCAGACTCACAATGACCAATATTCGATTTGACAGAGCCAATACTGCAGAATTGTTTGTCTGTAGTTTCAAATGCCCTGTTTAAACCTGCAATTTCTATGGGATCACCCAGGCTTGTACCTGTTCCATGTGCTTCGACATAGCTAAAATCGCCAGACTTTACTCCTGCTTTTTTCATCGCCGCTTTAATAACCGCAGCTTGTGCTTTAGGATTAGGAACTGTATATCCATTTGTCTTTCCGCCGTGATTTAAGGCCGTACCTGTTACCAGACCATAAATGTGGTCACCATCTTTGATTGCTTCGCTTAGACGCTTTAATAACACTGTTCCTACGCCCTCACCAGGTACATAACCATCTCCGCCTTCTCCGAAACTTTCACAACGCCCCGCACCAGACACAAAACGCCCCTGGCTTAACATCAGATATTTGTTTGGATGGACACTTACGTTGACCCCACCAGCGATAGCCATATCCGTATCTCCGGTCAATATATCTTTACAAGCCAGATGAATAGCCGTTAATGACGAAGAACACATCGTATCTACCGCCATACTCGGGCCATTAAAGTTGAAAAAATAAGAAACTCTGTTTGCAATACTGCTGGCAATTCCAGCAGGGGTTACAAAATTGCCTTTCATTCTTTCTTCTGCACCAAATAACTGGTATTCTTCGTACATCACGCCAGCATAAACACCTATTCGTCTGGCAATTCCGGTTTGCAGATCTTCAGCCCGCATACTTTCACGGGTATAACCTGCATCTTCCATTGTTTCCCAAACTGTTTGCAGGAACAGTCTTTCCTGCGGGTCCATTAATTCCGCTTCTCTTGGAGAAATATTGAAGAACAAAGGATCGAACTTATCAATATCATTCATAAACCCACCCCATTTGCTATAACTTTTGCCGGGTTGTCCTTTTTCTTCGTGATACATTTCTTCTGCATTCCATCTGTCTTCAGGGACTTCAGTAATACAGTCTTTTCCTGCCTTAAGATTTTCCCAGAATTCTGAGAGATTATTTGCACCAGGATAACGTCCGCTGATCCCAATGATGGCAATGGCTTCCGTTAAATTATTTTGTTGTTGTTGTTGTTGTTGTTGTTGTTGTGTTACCCCGGCAAAACGCTGACGTCTGTTTTGATTGACGAAAGGCATTCCGGTCATGGAGACTTCTTGCGGAACAGCTGAAGTCTCCGTAGCCGAAACTAAAGCCAAACCTGTAAGCTCCAATAACTGTGAACGGTGAGCTTCAAGGAAATAACCACAAAGCTCTTTCAGGCTCAGGTACTCGAAAAACAAAGTACGCGGCAGCTTACCAAACACTTCCTCTAAACGATTGGAAAGCCTGATTACCAGCACAGAATCAATTCCATAATTTTCAAAAGGAACCTCTGCCAACAGTTTTTCTTCCGGCATTCTTAATTCCTTAGCCAGTAATTTACGGAGATAGTTTATAGCTGCGTCATTTAAAACTTCGTTGGTTACTGCAACTGTTACAGGTATCATATCCAACGTCTTTATCGATTCACTCAGCAAAGATTCAGCATTTTCAATAAGCTGATCTGCTAAAATTGACTGCTGAGTATTTTGACCATACAGTACCATTCCCTGTACAATTTTACTATTCAGTAAATCTTCAAATGCTTCTAATCCTGCGCTTGTTGGCATAGGGATTAACCGAAATGCAGCTCCATATAAGTTTCACTTTCTGCATCCAGCTGCATCCCTCCATCTTTCCATAAAGGCCAGTTAATACTCAAAGTTTTACCCTGACGCCTTCCCTGAAGACGCTCATTTTCTCTATAATAAGCGTAATTATCAATCCATGCATTCGCAGCAGCATAATCCGATTGTCCGGCATTGCCATTTACTCCGGCTACCGAAGAACAACTGACCATGAAATCCAGCGCCAGATCTTTCGTGGCGAGATCCAGATTTCTCGTTCCCTTTATTTTAGCAGCAAAGACCTGTTTTACTTCTGCTACCGTTTTGTAAATGATTAAACTGTCACGGATTACACCAGCACTATGAATAATACCATCCAGTTTTTTGTGTTCAGCAAGGATGTTTTTAACCAGCTCATTTACCGCTACGGCATCACTTATATCACAATGGTGATAAGTTGCGTTTCCAAGCCGGGCAACTGCTTTTTGCTGCGCCGGGCTCAACGATTCACTTCTTCCTGTCAAAATTAGTTTTGTACCCCTGGTTTTGCTGATATACTGCGCAAAGATCAGCCCCAATCCACCTGCACCGCCACTAATCAGGTATACACCGCCGGTTTTGATTTGAACATCTGCGGTATCTGATGTTTTAGCTAAAATGCTTTCCATCGTTCTCACTTCACGTAAACCTGCACGATAGCGTATTTCCTGATCAATGGTTTGCTGTTCAGCTGCCATTATATTTGTCAGTTCTTCTATATTCCGGAAAACAGGCTCTTCTACACTGATCAGTTTACCGGTGATTTTTGGATTTTCCTGTGTTAATGTTTTTAATAAACCTGTGATAAAACCGTATTGTCTATAATTATCCAGACTGCACACAATGACCAGGTGCGCCGGATTTTTATGCGGCATTAAAACTTTAGCAATCGACAATACTTCATTAAAGAAATCTTCCTCATTGATGTGGTTACTAGCTTTAACAACCAGAGAAAGGTTCTCCTGAAGTCCGGCAGCCATGGCCTCAGTACCCCCTGCCAATATAATCAGTGGTG